CACAGGATTGTTGTCTATTTTTGTATTATCTGCATTTTGCCCATAGTACCATTTGTGGCCAAAATGTCGGTGCATCCCTAATTATTATTATTTTTAGTAGTAGCAGAATTCATATTATAATTATTTCGATGTCTTATTATTGCTGCTATTACATTAGTTTGATTTTTATTATACTGTTTTACATGCATCTGATATAATACACTTGAGTGTTCCCTCTCTAGGCAACATATAAATAGAAAAAATACAAATGATGTTTTTTTTTCCAGTCAGCTTAAACCGATATTGAAATTCTTAGGAGATCGAATCCCCTCGTGTGAAAATGGCTTATAAAAACCTCAGGAAGTCTACTCAGCATTGCACATGTCCTGCAGTCACAGACGTTCTAGAGATCTCCTCAAACACCATGTAGGTTTCCTGCCATGAACATGGAACATTATCATTTATAGAGAGAAGGACTCATCAGACTTGACATTGCTGGAACTCATCGCAGATTTAAAATGGAGAATGTCACTAAACTTGGCCCATCTTTCGTGTTTCTAGGACTCTTAGAGCTGGAGAAATTCCGGTTCCTCTATGCTTCTGTAGCTCTTCTCTTCTATTTGATTACAATGCTTTTATGCTGTCTGATTGTGTATGTAATATGGATAGAGGTCAGCCTTCATGAGCCTATGTACATCTTCATAGGTAACTTGATCTTCAATGGTGTATTTGGAAATACAGTCATTTTGCCCCCATTTATAATCAGCTTGTTGAATGGATCCTCAACCATCTCCTTTAATGAATGTCTAACGCAAGTATTCTGTGTGCAAAGTTTTTCCACTGTTGAAATTTTGACTTTTACCGCCATGGCCTATGACCGATACTTGGCTGTTGGCTACCCACTGAGATATGCCACCCTAATGACCAATGGGAAGGCCCTGAAATACATAGAAATTATCTGGATTTCAGGCTTCGTACTCGTAGTTGTTCCGCTCATCATGACGGCCAACCTGACATTCTGCGGGGTCAACATTAATAACATTTTTTGCGACAACATGTCCCTTGTCAGGCTGGCTTGTGGGAACTCAGCCATGGTTAATAATATTTTTGGCCTGGTCGAAACTCTGCTCGTCATTTTCGGAACCTGTTTCGTCATCGTGTATTGCTACGTGAGGACGTTGTTGATCTGTCTAAAGCTCCCCAGAGCGGCTTACCTGAAGGCCATGCACACGTTGTCCACGCACATCATCACTTTCTCTGTTTTCTTGACGGCCTCCTTGTTTGTTGTTTTAAGGTACCGCTTGAACGGGGGGACGATTACTGTCTCGGTTCACGTTTTTATTTCCAGCACCGGACTTCTCACGTCGGTTATTTTGAACCCCATCATCTACGGCATAAGGACCGAAGCGCTAAAATTAAAGATACTCCTAAATCTCCACAAACTGAGATTCTGGAAAGGTGTTTTTGAGACAAAATAACTGCAGGGTCACTCATGTAATAAACTTCTATTTTGATGAAGTTTTGATTGACTGCGGCACTGTGCCGGGTTCTTTATTACTTATGGTCCAATGTTTTTACAGCACTCATCAAGAATTATGTCATTGGGAATTACCATATAGTACCTTGGTTCTTAACTGGTGGGTCGTGACCCAAAAGTGGGTCGCGACCCTGTGTTCAGTGGGTCCCTGCATGCCTTCCACTATTCTAGGTGAGAGGCTCCTCAGCCTCCCCCTAGCGCAGCACTGTCCATTCTCACACCGAACAGCCATTCAAAATATGCTGCCCAGCGCCAAGTGTCAGCTTGGGGGTGGGGTGGGGGTATGACAGTGAGGGAGCTCCATCCATACATGCATTGCTTATAGCCCCTTGCATGTCCTATAGCGGTACTTGGACCGGAGTAATATCACATTCTGGCTCCCAGCACCTCTACAGGTGTGCATTGGGAGCTCTACAAGCAATGCACATATGGATGGAGCTCCATCACAGCACAGCAGCCCACAATGCTGTGTGTTCCATTGCAGTGCGACTTGGGTCGCGACTTAATGACCGAGGACAAATGTGGGTCCTGAGGTGCACAGGTTGAGAACCACTGATATAGTACATGTAAAGTCAATAGAAAAGGGAATGGTTGTAACTAGGGATGCACCCATACCGGTTTTTCGGTATCGAGTACGATTTTTTTCGGTACTCACTGATACCGTTACCGGAAGTCACCAGTCAATAGAGAAGGGAATGGCTTCAACTGTTGTCAGGCTTTTTACTTGCACTGCTGTCTCTGTCCGATTGGGGAGATTTCCCGTCCAGGAGACACAACAGGATGTAAGAGGAGATCTCTTCCAGGTGAGGGGACGTTTTTGTTTTAAAGCGTATCTAAAACCAAAACCAAAAAATTTAATATATTGCAACTTATAAATCCTTAAAGTGACATTAAAGGCACATATTTTTTCCCTCCCCCCAACGTTAATGAAAGCATTTACCTTAAATGATGTCTCCTAATCCGATCTTCCTCTTCTTTCCTGTCCTTTTCATCTGTCCCTCCAGCGGTGCGGCGGGTCTCCGATCCAACCCTGACTCCTCTGTCCTTGCTGGCACTTCCTGTCCCACGGTGTCTGCATGCGGGTGCACGCGTCCATAGACTTACCTTGTGTCTCTCCTCGTCTCCCGGCCCAAAATCCAAACTGCGCATGCGCCGGCCCCAAGATGCTTTGCGGCCGCCCAAGAATTTTCAGATTTTCGGACGGGAGCGCGCGGGGAAGACACAGGTAAGTTTAAACCGCTGTTAAAGCAGTAGATATATGCAAAAACAGTAAGGGTTTAGAAACTCTTTAAATTTTGTGACTGCATTATTTTTAAAGCTTTTTTTCCCCTTTATTTTCACCTGGTGATCCAGCTATTAACTCACTTCCTGTTCTAGGGTGATTTTAGGTGTTAGAAGCAGATTTAGATGGACTTGACTTACCAATCAAAGCTTTTTTTCTCCTTTTTGGAATAAAGCCTTTGCATAAATGATTAATGCTATCCATTGTAGGCACCCCTGTCAGTGTTAAACGCTCTATCTGCCACTTTTAATGAACAGCTTGGAAGTTCAAAAAAATATAACAGACTGAATGGCAGGATCACCAGGTGAGAATATAGAAAACAAGCCTTTAAGGGGCTTTTAGGGTTTAATGTCACTTTAAGCTCAGCACACACATTACACTCTCAGAATCTGCTTTATTTCCATCAAAAAAACTATGTAGTCCAAGGGTCATTCCCCAAAGTCTTGCATGATCCATGTCCTCAAGTTCATAGTGCAGCACCTCCTGTCAAAATACCTTGGACTGTAAGACATGCTTCACCATGCCAGGAGGTTTTCCTCAATCACTCAGTCATGGCTTGCCTGGTACATTGACAATTAATTGGCATTATCCCCCTAGTGTTTCTCCTAGAACACACGATGTGCAGCCTGATTGACCGCACACTGGAGACACAGGAGCTGAAGTAATGGACAAACTTGATGCTATCCCAGAGCCACCAGAAACCTCTGTCCACTGCTTTTATCCCTGTGATGCAGAGGCAGCAGGAGGCTGAGGAGTAGTCCAAGGTGGTGGAGGAAAGTTGGCAGGCGGAAGTGGAGACAGAGGAATGTGAACAGGTTTTGCATGGGCGCCATACTCTTCCCAATCACTGGACATTTTATGTGGGTGGGATGAAAAGCTGGAGGACAACTTTATCTTTAATTAAAATGAGTACTCCAGGACCTTAACCACATTTGAGGTTCTTCATGCTCCAACGTCATGGAGAGGGATCACTATTCATGTGGCAACCCTATTGGATGATCTTCTGCTAACATCCCAGAGGGAGCATACACTGTGCCATTTTGAGGAAGTGCTTTGACAAAGCCCCTTTGCTGCATTTCCCATTGGGAGCCGGGATACCCTTGTTGACTAGCATACCTCCCCAGCCGACAAACCCTCAAAGATCAGCAGGAAATAGCTACGGCTCCAAGCTCGCTCCCGTGATGGACTACAATCTCATGCTTAGTTTACTCATCTGTATTGAAATTGTAGTCCATCACAGGAGTGAGCTTGGAGTGGTGACTACTTTACAACACACACAGGGACCATGGGGAACAAAAGTAGCCCCCCTCCAGAAGGAAGGACAGTGTCAGAGATGATTGGAGAATCTACAGCCGAGGGATACACAAATAAGATACATTTCTGTTAATAGTTAAGGTACTTGAATGTATTTTTGAGATTTAGCTCCTGAGTTTAGGGTCACTTTAAAGGAGAATGATTAAATTGAGTCTGAGCCAACAGACTGTATACACTTAACACAGTCCAGGGCCGGTGCAAGGATTTTTGCCAACTCAGGCGAAGGTGCATTTTGTGGTGGTGCCCTCTGGTCTTTGTTACGGAGCTAACCGTAAACAGTAGGGATGCACAGATACTTTTCGAGTACCAGTGCAGATACTTGGCATTTTCATGAGAACTACCATGGTTGCAGCGGTTGCAGCTGGGACCTGGCTCTGGCGCTCCACCACTGTCCTGAAATCATTAGTCTGTATTGTTTTAGAAAAACTGTCACATGACAATAAACAAAAATTTATCAGTACTCGTACTTGTAAGTACTCGGCAAGTACCAGTACTCGTACTCGCAAAACTGGTATCTGTGCATCCCTTGTAAACAGTTTGTTAAAAATGTTGCTATCGCCGTTGAACAGTTCATACAAGAAAATCATGTCACCCCTTAATCTCCTAACCTCCAAAGAGAACATATTTAATTTTAACAACCTTGTTTCATAGTTCAGGTCTTCGAACCCCTTAATGAGTTTGGTTGCCCTCCGCTGGACTTTTTCTAGCTCAAGGACATCTTTTCTGAGTACAATCACACATCGTTAATCACACATATGTTTACATACAGCTGAGTAGTTATTTTTAATATATACAATAAATATATGCAAAGACCTAGAATGCGTAACCAACGTAATTGTATGCAACATTTCCCCAATGTTATGTTGACCCAACTTCACAGAACCATGTCAATATTCCTAAATGAAATGACATATGGCAGTAACTGTGCACCCTGACTAAAGATTATCCAAAGAATGAAAATCCATTTCACTAATTAATCCTTCATTGTTTCGTTCTCAGCCGTTTGTGTTTCCGAGTTTCTCCTGAGAATGAGTCTCAGAAGCAATGCTCCATCTGAGATGATATAAATAGCTCATCCTGCAGTGATATTAAGTCAATAGTCAGTAAGCATTCAAGTTCACCTTTACAGGCTTTTTAAAGGTAATTTTCATTTCAGTTTTTACTTATTATTTGTTTACATATATAACTTGCCATATCATTGCATGTTATATTATTAGCCTGCTATATGTTCTGTTATATCTTTCTAAATGCTTTAAAATCAAGTATCATTTAAGAAATGGAAAATATGTCCAGGTTAAGCACAAGTTTTGATCTTCTTGGCTTGGCGGAGTTGGAAAGATATAAATTCGTCTATGCCGTCTTAGCTCTTTTCCTCTACCTCTTCACCATCACCATATGCTGTTTGATCGTCTACGTGGTCTGGGCTGAAGAAACGCTCCACGAGCCCATGTACGTCTTCATAAGTAACCTGGTCATCAATGGAATCTACGGGAGCTCCGTTGTACTCCCCAAGATAATTGTTTCCTTGCTGTCTGGCTCTCGGACTACCTGGTTTCTTGAGTGCCTCATCCAGGCTTTTGGCATTCACAGTTTTGCTGCCGTCGAATTGTTTACCTTCACTGTCATGGCTCAGGACCGATATTTGGCCATCGGTCAACCGCTGAGATATCCAATTTTCATGAACAACGATAAAGCCATTAAACACATTATCTCGAGCTGGGTGGTCGCCTTTATTGTGGTCCTCATACCGGTGACAATGAGTGCGTTCCTCCACATGTGCGGCGTAAATATTAACAATGTATTTTGTGATAACACGTCATTCATTATGCTGGCCTGTGGAGGAGCTTCGGTCAATAATATCTTTGGAGCTGTTGAGGCTTTTTCGATAAATATCATCTGTCTCCTGGTCATCATTTACTATTACATCAGGACATTCGTGATTTGTCTGAAGTTCTCTAGAGAGGCCTATCAGAAAGCTGTCCGCACTCTGGTCACACACCTAACTGCATTTTCCACGGTCATTATCTCCAGTTTCTTTGTTTTATTGAGATACCGGATAAATGGCGGGTCTATTTCTCTTGCGGCTCACGTCGTGATATCAGTCTTTGGAGCGGTCACCCCGACTACCCTTAACCCTCTCATTTATGGTTTCCGGACGGAAGCCCTAAAACTGAAAATTATCCGAAGGTTAAAGAAAACCACAGGACGTGGCAATGTGCTGACATCATAGTGACAATGTGTTATTGTATTCAACTTTCAAACATGACATTTTACCCCATTGTATCAATTCATTGCTGTTGTTTCCTCATTCGTTTTATTAAAACCCGGGAGGAAGAATGTGATGTTCTTAAAACAATTATTAAAAAACTGCAGTTTAAGTCACCTAGAAGGCAAACTGATATCATTCATGTTTACACTTTTATCAGTCTGCATAATTCATAGTGTACAGTTCATACAGTATGTGTCTTCCTTTGTGTAGGTCATCTATCAACTACTACATGACTTGGGCAGAACAGATGTATCCAGTTATACTTCTCCCTGTACTGCATGGTCATCCCCAACTCCACAACACTTCACAGCACAATTTCCAAACAAAGACACATCCTGATCCATAACATGCCAGGTCACTACAAACAGGCCACACGGACTAGAGGATACTGAAGATGGGTCCCCGACCATTTTACACCTCCACCAAACTGACCACCTGCACATACCCCACTCGCGCACCAGCCGGTAGGATTTCCCTAATGGCGATAGGCTTAGAGAAGAGTAGGTTTGGTCAGTTGGTGGGAGGTTCTCTTTTCGTGTGCAGATCTCTAATCTCGGTTTATTACACTCCGCACAATAGACTACCTCTGGAGCCTTTTTCTACCAACCTGCAGCCACCCAATTCGGTAAGTGACCTCTAGATAACCTACTGCTTATAAATGTTTCCTCTCAGTTGCATGGGCTTTCCTTTTAACCCTGTCATGTAGGTCCTGCACTTACTTGCTTTATCCTTTAGCTTTGGGCCTAATTTTTATTATTATTATTATACAGGATTTATATAGCGCCAACAGTTTGTGCAGCGCTTTACACTATAAGGAAGACATTACAATCTCAATTCAATTCAAGTCAAGATGGTAGTGAGGGCCCTACCCCTGAGGGCTTACAATGCCCAATCCCTGGCTGGTAGCTACACTGGACCCTTTCATCAGGTATGTGTGCTATCTTATCATAAAGGGGTCCTGTGAGGACCTTCAACGCTGCAATTTGATGTGATGTACGGATATGCTTGAATAAACTGGACTCTTTTTTGGATGATCCTCCAGATATTATTTTACTGACAGGTTGGAACAGCTTGTGAAGCTACACTAACGTGTTGATTTTATTGGATTTAGATCAACTTTAAGTATACCCATGGGCAGGGCAGGTTTTACCATTAGACACAGTAGGTATGTACCTATAGATAGCAGAGGCACAATACAAATGAAAACAACCGGTAAATTATGAATGTGCATTTCCTGTGAAGCACAAAGCAAAGGGGTAAGGTACAGTTTTTGTGAAGCCAACAGAAAAGACTTACGGGGCTATTCACAAAGGGTGAAGAGTTTGGAGAAGGCCGGAGAAGTGAACAATCTAGGACAACCGTAGCTGATTTGGAAAAATTCTCCAATTGAACTCACTTTCCAGTTCAGCTATGTTGTCCTAGATTGTTCACTTCTCCGGCCTTCTCCAAACTCTTCACCCTTTTGTGAATAACACTCTTAATGTGGACATATTATAAAGCAGAGAGTAAAAGGTTAATGTAGACTTACTATGAACCAGACAATAAACTACATTTAGCCAATATAGTCAACACAAACCAAAGTTGAGGGACAAGGACCCCTTACCCAAATCCTGTAGTCCAATAAGGATGTGGGGATTCATGGGCGGGACTTATAGCAATCTTTATTATAAGAGGGCCCCAAAGATTCACCCCTTCCCAGGGGATTGAGTACAGGGGTACATTAGAACCTCTTATCACTCATTCTCAAAAAATGTTTAAAAAAAACACATACACACACATTGTGAAAAAAAGTCCTTTAGTAGCAAAAACAAATTCCTCCAATGTAAATCCATCGTCAACCACGTCATTCTGCCACGTAAATCCATTATCAGTCACTTACACCAACCAGACACTGGGTGATATTATCCCACCACCATAACGACCCCTACACCCAACAATTATTATTATTATTATTATACAGGATTTATATAGCCCCAAAAGTTTGCACAGCACTTTATAATATAAGGAATGTGATGGTTCAGTGGTTAGTTTGAGGTGGGATAGACTTCCCTGAATGAGAGATGAGTCTTTAGGGATCGCCTAAAGGCAGTCAAGGTGGGAAATAGATGGACAGGTTGGGGTAAAGAGTTCCAGAGGATAGGAGAGACTCTAGAGAAGCCCTGGAGGCGAGTATGGGAGGAGTTGACAAGGGAGCTGGAAAGCAGGAGGTCTTGGGAGGAGCGGAGCGGATGGTTAGGGTGATATTTTGAGACAAGGTTGGAGATATAGCCGGGGACAGAGTTGTGGATGGCATTGTAAGCAATTGTTAATATTTTGAATTTTATCCTTTGGGCGAGTGGAAGCCAGTGCAGGGATCGGCAGAGGGGGACGGAAGCCAGTAGAGGGATTGGAAGAGGGGGGTTGCAGACACGGAGCGGTTGGTCAGGTGGATGAGTCTAGCAGCTGCGTTCATGATAGACTGAAGGGGGGATATCCTGTGTAGTGGAAGGCCAATGAGGAGGGAGTTGCAATAGTCAAGACGAGAGATAACAAGGGAGTGTATGAGTAATTTTGCGGTGTCATTGGTGAGGAAGGGGCGCATTTTGGAGATGTTACGAAGGTGAAGGCGGCACCATTTGGATAGTGATTGGATGTGGGGAAGAAAGGTGAGGTCCAAGTCGAGGATGACACCTAGCACCTTGGCATGCGGGGAGGGCTGGATAGTTGTGTAATCAATCTCAAGGGAAATGTTGGGGGAAGGTGCACGAGCGGGAGGAAATATCAAGAGCTCAGTTTTTGAAAGGTTGAGTTTTACGAATTAACAATGTTTTCCCGTTGCTACATAGCAGATACCTGTTACTGTGTAATGTAAAGAATAGTGCCTTACATACAGCAGCCAGAGATTCTGGCAGGCGAACTGGCCAATTGGGCCCAAATGGCTAGTCCAGTCCATGTACAGCGACTGGGCTGGGTTCAACACAAACCCATGTTCGACTCAAACCGGGATGCCTTGGAAGTGAACAGTACAGAGTCCAAATCACGTCTTATTCTAAAATCTGTCAAGCAAAACAAACGACAAACGCACTCAACAATTTGTCACCAGTTATACAGCGCGGTGCACACGAAATGGGCTTTGAACAGTAAAACAGTAGAAAGGCATCATGGCACACTCACAAACCAGCATGTAAAACAACTTGTCTCACCACTAAGGATAATAACAGAGGTTTGGATACACGTCTTCTGCAGATCCCGCACACCCCAATGGCAGCTGAGAAACACCATGCGTCGCTGCACCAAATCGGTCAAGCAAAACAAACGACAAACGCACTCAACAATTTGTCACCAGTTATACAGAAAAAACAGTGCGTTTGTCGTTTGTTTTGCTTGACCGATTTGGTGCAGCGACGCATGGGGTTTCTCAGCTGCCATTGGGATGTGCGGGATCCCTTGTGTGTTTCTGTGCTTTTAAGGAGGCTGGGCTTCCTCCTGACAAACCTGCACCCAATTTGAAATCTTCTGCCCCCATGTGCTCCAAGATGGAGACTCTCATAGTTTAGAGTTAGGACCGCACTATAAGAGGTGCCTTGGCGCGGCAGTGCGGCTTTCACATCCTCTGCAGAAGACGTGTATCCAAACCTCTGTCATTGTCCTTAGTGGTGAGACAAGTTGTTTTACATGCTGGTTTGTGAGTGTGCCATGATGCCTTTCTACTGTTTTATTATTCTAAAATCTGAGAAGTAAAAATATTTTAGGATTAAAGAAAACTCTTCAATGTTTCTAAAATGGAACAAAAGGAAAACCTATTTTATGTTAGTTTTTTTATTATTCACAGTTGGTATTTTGCAAGAAAATAAATAAAATTGGCTATTGCATGGATTTTAGAACTAATTTTTCAGCACGGATTGTTTGTTAGAATTTGAACATTGCAGGTACCCAAAGGCTAATTAGTAACAAAGAAGACTGTGTTTCATTAATGAAGACGTTGGATTCTCATAGGTGCTGCATTGAAGAGTCTCTGGGGACGTCCCCTACAATATAAATAAATCCAGCTTTTTAGATGCAGTACAAGTCAGAAGGGTGATATTATCTACCACAGTGTTGTATATATTTATATTGTGTATAGGTAACATATTATTTATATCTGCTCATATGTTTGTCCTGTAACATACCCTGTTTCCCCGAAAATAAGTACTATTTTTGGGAATTGCTAAAATATAAGACCTACCCTGAAAATAAGACCCAGTTGTGACCATTCCCAGGGCCGGTGGTGGCATAAGGGAAAACTTGAAGAGCCATGGGAGAGGCAGGAGAGAATCAGCGGTGCCAAAGAAGACAGCGCTAGAGGAAGCGAGGCGGCACCGGAGGGAGCAGAGCCGCATAAGCCGATGCCCCCTCTATAGCGCCGGCTCCTGTCACAGGCCGAGTGATACCAAATGCACTCCGCCTGTGAGGAATCCATAGTGAAAGTGCGCTTCGCTCATTCTGGCCAGCGATTGCTTAGCAAATTGCTCATGGAAAGGTACGGCACCCCTGACTGCCCTGATCACTATATTTTTGTACATGAATACATGTAGACTTTTCTACATAAATAAGTGTGGATTGTTGTACATTAAAAAAAAAAAAAAAAAAAGGCCTACCCCGAAAATAAAACCTAGTGTGTTTTTTTTGAGCCAAAAAAATATAAGACAGTGTCTTATTTTCGGGGAAACACGGTATACCATTAGCATATCCTGGAAATTACTGAAATAAATAACCTGAAGTAATGTTGGGCAACATGTATGCAATCAGCACAAGCTTTGTCCTCCTTGGTGTCGTGGAGATGGAGAAGTTTAGGTTCCTGTACTCTGGCGTAGCTTTCTTTGTGTATATCATAACTATGTTTATATGTTCTTTGATCATATTTGTTGTCTGGACTGAAGAAAGCCTCCATGAACCCATGTACATCTTCATATGTAATTTGGTCTTCAACGGTATGTTTGGCAGCTCAACTTTCCTCCCCAAGCTAATCATTGACTTGCTTTCTGGCTCCATCACCATCTCCTTTTCTGGTTGTCTCGTACAGTCTTTTTTCCTCCATAGCTTTGCTGCCGTTGAAGTATTCACCTTCACCATGATGGCCCATGACCGGTATTTGGCTGTTGGCGAGCCGCTGAGATACCCAGCTTCGATGACCAACACCAGGGCAATTCAGTTTATAACCATAAACTGGGTTTCTGCCTTCTTGGTGGTCTTCATCCCCGTGACAATGACGGCATATCTCCCTTTATGAGGAACACATCTCAATAACGTCTTCTGCGAAAACATGTCACTTATAAAATTAGCTTGCGGTGATGCTTCGGTCAACAACATATTTGGGGCCGTCGAGGCTTTTTTGATCGACATCAGCTGTCTGCTAGTAATCGTTTATTGCTACGTAAGAACTTTTATCATTTGTTTGAAGATTTCCAAGGAAGCTTGTCAGAAAGCCATCAGCACTTTGGTTACCCACCTCGCTGCATTTTCAACCTTTATGATTGCAAGCTTCTTTATTCTATTACGATACAGACTGAACAGTGGATCCATTTCACTGGCCGCCCACGTCTCGATCACTGTCATTGGCCTGATGACGCCAATCACTCTTAACCCTGTTATTTATGGAATAAGGACAGAAGCACTAAAAAACAAAATTGTACATAAGTTCCAAAAGATGACATGCCTGGAACTCGGAAAGTCCATGTAGTAAGGACACTCGAAATAAATGTTGTCAGATTCTAACCATTACGTATACTGATATATTGGTTTTTTTTTTCTAAAACCAAACGGGGCTTACAACCCCTAATATGAGTCCAGAGTCTATAGTCATATACACTATATTGCCAAAAGTATTGGGACGCCGGCCTTTACACGCACATGAACTTTAATGGCATCCCAGTCTGTGGGGTTCGTAGGGTTCAGTATTGAGTTGGCACGCCCTTTGCAGCTATAACAGCTCCGCCTCTTCTGGGAAGGCGTCCACAAGGTTAGGAGTGTGTCTATGGGAATGTTAGACCATTTGTGAGGTCAGGTACTGATGTTGGACGAGAAGGCCGGGCTCGCAGTCTCCGCTCGAATTCATTCCAAAGGTGTTCTATGGGGTTGCGTTCAGGACTCTGTGCTATTCTCGGCGCGGGAGCGAGCAGCGATAACGAGGTAAGTTTAAAATGATTTTCAAGCGGTTTTTTTTTGTTTGTTTTTTACACTTCTTGCCTATATCTCCTGCTTGCTAGCAGTAGATATAGGCAAAAAAAACGGAGGGTTTAGAACCCCATAGCAACCCACACGGCTGCTAGGGGGCCCGAGCCGAGGGGGGCCCGGTGAAGACAAGAGAACTTGTACAATAAGTTCTTCTGCCGTCTTCCGACCCATCACTTCACTTTTATGACAGAGCATGACCCCTCCCCTCCTTCCAGTCAGCGTGAGGTGGATAGTGCTCAGCTCTTCCTGATCAACGGCATGTTTTCGTGGACGCCTCCTGGACATTCCTTTTTCACATATGCAAACAGCATACCGAGGTGAGCCGGGCTGATCTACATCCACCAAAGAAGCTGAGGAGAAAGGGTTATATTTAAGCCCACCTTTCCCCAGCTTTATTGGTGGCAGCATTGTTACTCGCCAAGATGTGAACCAGGCCTCAGTAGCAACCTGCCGCTAATTACTTTCTGCTGGGAAGGGGGAGGGCTGATTGCTGCACAACGCACACCTTTATTGAATGCCTAGCAACAAGTGAAGCTGGATTTCTAGCCAATCAGGATTCATGATTGGCTTCACTTGTTGCTAGGCAGTCTGGCTTCTTGAGCACTCAGAAAGCAAGGCAGCACTCCATGACCCGCCACCTGGCTTCCTGATTGGTCAGGAAGCCAGGCAGCCGGGAAGTGAAGTCAGTGTTCGTTTGATAGAATACCGGCTTCCCAGGCTATCAGGAAGTGTCCTAATAATCAGGGCACACGGCACCGGTATCAGTATTTGGTATCAGCGAGTACTGGAAAAAAAAAAACGATACTTGTACTCGATTGCCGAAAAAACGGTATTGGTGCATCCCTAGTAGCAAGCAAACCAGCCCACCCAGCAACAGGGATGGCGGTGGAAGAACTCAGGGACGTTTTGTGGTGCAAACCCCCTTATCAAATTAAATCCCACCCAGAGAGTGGGATTTAACTTGATATAGGGATTTTCACTCCAAAACATTTTTAGATTTTTCCACCTCCACTCCTGTTGCTGAGTGTCTAGGTTTGTTGCTGCTTCTTTTGGGTACTTTTGCTGTCACATTTCTTTGCTGTATATACAGTATATTGTATGTTGTATGTGTTATCCCCACACTGTCCTATGTTTTGCCTATTAGCACGGACTACCATTAGATAGGTTACTATTCCATAGTGTAGGGGCCATTGTGGCGGGATCCCATATACATACTACATGCTCTATTAAATGTATACTTGTTGCTATTATGACATTTTCAATACAAATTGCTCAAACTGAAATGTTTGGTGTGCTGACTGATATTTGTACCATTACCTTAGATATCCTTTAACACAGAGCCTCCGACACTTCCACCCAAACTACCTGAAATTTCAGAATTTGCAAACAAATGTAGCCTAACCTTGCCTATGTGAGTACCTTCACTCGAGAGGTTTATCCTCATAGATAACTTTAAATCTAATAATCTGTATCCAGATATTTAACAATCTGTTGCAGTAAGCCTCCTGTGCTTCACACTTGAAGGCTGAAGGCCATGAGCATGCAGACCTTTTTTTGCTTTTTGAGTGCCGCACAGAGCTGGATGCTATAATACTTTTCAGAGATAAAATGTAAAGAGGCATCTTTGTTTTATATTTCAAAGTTTTTATTAGTTTCCATCTTATACAATAACAGTTTGTTACATTCCACTATCATATGTAACATATCGGAAAAGCCTATGGTCTCACCACAGTGTCCCCTCTCCCCCCTTTAGGACTTGTTCATGCTATTATAATCTCGTTAGCTAGATATCATTCCAACCAATGAGCATCTACTACCTATCAGGGGGCCAGTGTGACAGAAATTTTCATCTTAGGCAGTAGTTCTCAACCTTTCTAGGGCCGGGACCCCTTGGTAACATTTGCCAAGTTGTGGTGACCCCCAACGGTAACATCTGGCGACGTGGCGGGAAAACGGACACTGCTGCGCTAGGAGAGGGCTGAGGAGGACTCTCACCTAGCACAGCAGAAATCACACAGTGACCCGCAGGTTGAGAACCACTTGCGTACGCCGTCAGAATAAAAAAAAAACAAAAACCACCATAGGAATGCATAGCTAGATTCCTATTGGCTATTTCACTTTGCAATAGCCAATAGCATACTAGCTATTGCACCCGCCCTCTGCTGCTGTCAATCGCTAGACGAGGACCTGATGGAGAACTTCAGATCCCCCTCTGCTGATTGGCATCAGCAGAGGGCGGGTGCATTAGCTAGTTTGCTATTGGCTATTGCAAAGTGAAATAGCCAATGGGAATCTAGTTATGCATTCCTATGGTGGGTTTTTTTTCTGACTTTCGGCAGCCCCCGATGTCAGGGGGAAAAAAAAAAATGATCGCAGGGAAAGGTTTACTCTGCTCGAGCGCGCAGAGTAAACCTTTCCGGTAGAAAGTGTTTCTCTCCCGGGCGGCCGGGAGCCGCTATCTAATAGCGGGAGACTCCCGGGCGACCCCTGGCAAATCGTCATTCGACCCCGGACGGGGTCGCGACCCACAGGTTGAGAACCACTGATCTTAGGGATACCGTTATTATTTACTGATTTTACATATGATGGTTACTCCTGGTGAGCTCGTTCACATCGCACACCAGGGAACCAAAAACGGAAACATTAATTTATTAAAAGGAAGAGAGAAAGAGAAAAGAAAGAAAAGAAGAAGGATAGAGAGTGGGGAAATGGAGACTCCTGCGCAGTGCGCACCAGGATTCTGAATCAGGATTTAACCTGGGTTTGCTGGCTATGTATGGGGGGGGGGTCCAGGATTCCTAGATATATCAGCCATGGGTCCCATATCGCTTGGAAGTTATGATATCTATCTTGTAATATGCTATATAACTTCTCGTGTGTCATGATCCAGTTTAGTTTAGATAGTACCATAGAAAATGGGACCCTTTCGGCTTTCCAGGACCGAGCTATTGATATCTTGGCTGCTAAGAAGAAGAAGGATAATAGTTTGCCCTGCGCCTTAGTGATCCCCTTGACTGGTTTATTCAATAACAGATGCTGGGGGTCTCTCTGGACATACACCCGGAGAATTCTAAAGAGCAAGGCAAAGAAGCGATTCCAGAAGGGATGCAGTTTTGGACATTTCCACCAGACATGAATCACCGTGCCCTGGGCATCTTTGTTTTAGTCCAAAATGTGTGTGGACGAGGTGGTGCTGGATCTTCTGTTACTAATGTCTGGCAATGATAGAAAACCAGGTCAGTGTATAGAGCTTACTGGCCGCTCTTGTGAAACAGGGCACCCCTAGCTAAGGGACTCTGACCAAAAGTCCAAAGACACAAGATCAAATCGATAAGTGAAGAGTCACAATTTACTAAGCTCCTTGACTCTTCCTCTTCATCAAGATCTGGATTTTGTGTGAATTTGAAAGAGGACTCAACTAAGAAAGAGATGGTAAGCTCAAAAGACAGACAGAAAGTGCTCTACCTCCTTCCACCAATGAAGTCCCATGGAACTCCAATGCACAACCAAGACTACCCCCAGCCCCTTATCATAAACAAAAGAAAAAAAGTTCCTCCATGCAGGGGCGTATCTGCCGCGAGGCAAACAAGGCGTTTGCCTGGAGCGGCAGATTTGCTGAGGGCGGCGTTGCACCGTTGCAAGCTAAATACACCGCTGCATGGGGGCCGTCATGTGACGTGGAAGTCTTCCTCTGGGCGGCGTTGCTGCCTTGCCAAAGGCAGCAGAAAAGCTAAATACACCGCTGCCTCCACGTGGTTCTGGATACAGTAAAACGCTTCTTTATTTATTCAAGGCAGAAAATCAGACATAGCAGTTAGACATGTAAGCTGTGGAAAAGTTTGGTCCGTTTCGGATATTTCGTTATTTCGGGATTCAGATCCGAAATTCAATTTGGTTCGGGTTTCGCTTTCCTTAGTTTCGGATGAGTTTACGAATATTCGTTGCGAATACCACAGAAAACCATCTACAGGTATTAATACTAAAGCTGAATCTCCCAGACCTGAATGGCATTCGGGATCCGAATTTCCGAATTGCATTGAGAAGCTCCTGCATGCCATTCGGGTCTGGGAGCCAAATACATATATTAATAAAGCTGATGCTCCCAGACAGGGACGGATTTACTCTCTCTGCTGCCCCAAGGCCAGGTTCCTCAATGCGACCCCCTACCCGCCAAACCGCCCCCCCCCCCCCCCAAGCCCCCCCCCCCCCCCATAGAGAATGGCAGACCTGCAGGCTGCATACAATGTCGATGAGATCACTTGTACAAAACAAATGGTGGCTTCCCCGCTGCACATTTACCTCTGCTTGCCCAAAGCAGGGCTATATGTAGAAAACAACTACCCGCCCGGGGGCCCAGAACTGCAGAATTCCATACCCCTGCTGCCCCTCTACTCCCTGCTGCCCCGAGGCCGGGCCTTGGTTGGCCTTGTAGGAAATCCGGCCCTGCTCCCAGACCCGAATGGCAGTGAGAAGCTCCTAAATGCAATTCAGAAATTTGGATCCCAAATGCCATTCGGGCCTAGGAGCCTCAGCTTTAGTATTATATGTACTCCAAAACTCGTAGGCTTCTTCAGGGTTTTTTTTTGTATATCAATTTTCAGCACAAATCTAATTTTTAACACATAATACATTGTTCATCAATAAAATTCATCCATAATACATAAGTTTATAATTCATCATTGATTCACAGCTTTAGGTTCAATGTCAATTGATTATTTGTATATACTGTATATGGCTCCCATGTTGCCGTAACGAAAAATTGTGTTGAGACCCATACGGATACATTAAACCAAAAAACACATCTGATTGGCCAGAAAAGTCACATGTCCAATTCAGTTTCATTTTCAAAATGAAATTCGGACGGGATCCGAAATTCAGAAACGGAAATTAGGATTCGAACACATTCGGATGCATTGGGATTCAGAAATTCAGATGTATCCGAATGTCGATAAAATTTGTACGAAACGAAGCGCACATGTCTAATAGCAGTCCCGCTTATGTATTTGAGCCAAAAGAGACCTTAATCATACTAATACAGGATCAACAAAGAGCACACCACCAATGACCAAAGACCCCCGAACAAGCTTTATCTAGCCATCACGGTTCGGGGGACTGTGACACTTCCCCTTTGTCAGTAGCTGGATTTTGGGTGAACTTGAACTAAAAGGACTCATGTAGGGAAAAAAATAGACTAGCTAACGTTCATCAAGTGCAGTATCCCGGTGGCTAGTCCAATGGTAGAGTGTCAATGTGAGACAGTTTCGGACCTGCTAACTCGCATAATTAGGATTTCAACATTTTGATTGGTGTTAGATCCACCTTGTTTCCCCGAAAATAAGACACTGTCTTATATTTTTGGGGGCTAAAAAAAAACACGCTAGGTCTTATTTTCGGTGTAGGTCTTATTTTCGGGGAAGGTCTTATTTTTTTTTTTTTCAATGTACAACAATCCACACTTATTCATGTAGAAAAGTCTACACGTATTCATGTACACAAATATGGTGATCAGGGCAATCAGGGGTGCCGTACCTTTCCAAGAGCAATTTGGCACCCAATCGCTGGCCAGAATGAGCGAAGCGCACTTTCACTATGGATTCCTCACAGGCGGAGTGCATTTGGTATCACTCGGCCTGTGATAGGAGCCGGCGCTATAGAGGAAGCATCGGCTTATGTGGCTCTGCTCCCTCCGCTGCCGCCTCGCTTCCTCTAGCGCTGGCTTCGTTGGCACCGCTGATTCTCTCCCGTCCCTCCCACGGCTCTTCAACTTCCCCCTTATGCCACCACCGGCCCTGGGAATGGTCACAACTAGGTCTTATTTTCAGGGTAGGTCTTATATTTTAGCAATTCCCAAAAATCGTACTAGGTCTTATTTTCGGGGTAGGTCTTATTTTTGGGGAAACAGGGTATTGTACACATTACTTACACACATTTTAAAGTGTATCTGCAGTCATTTTTTTTACATCTTTGCTAGAGCAGGGGATGGTTAATATCTGTATCAAGGTTCTTTTTTGTCCTCTAGGTCTCATTGGAAATATTTTATTCTTTTCCAGACGCATAACAGGAAGTGCAAATCTCTCCAAAATTATAGTAAGTCAGTTTTAATGCAATTGTCACTGGAACAGGTGGGAGATTTCCCTTCACCTTTTACTGACAAACATAAGATTTGGATTTCCAATTACTTTCTGTCCTGGCGACAATGGTCACTGGGGCAAAACAAAGCGGAGGATCTTCTCAGTGGAGACAGAGAAAGCAAAGAAACCTCAACAGAGGTTCTAATCCTTTCCCACTCCATCTGAAGTGAACAAATAGATTCAGCTATAGATACAGTACACTTTAATCTCCTGTCATTTATTTTGAAGTTTAGTATAAGGGCCATTGTTGGCCAACATTTAAAGAGGGTCTAGGTGGTTCGGACCCCTGACATGCTACCTTTAATCTCTAGTGCTGGTGGAGTGCACCTGGCTAAATGGAATAGTGCCCTATTGTTGGTGTCCGTGGGGGGAATAGTGCCCCATCATTGGTGTCAGTGGGGGGAATAGTGCACCATCAATGGTGTCAGTGGAGGAATAGTGCCCCATTGTCAGAGGGCCAAGGAAGCTACTTCAACTTCTTCACATCCTACTGCACTGGGCCCCTCAAAAGGTTGCTTAGCTCCGGGCATTGTTACATGTGGCTTGTGTGACTATATGCCAACATAAGAAATTTGTTGTTGCATAGGGGGTTCAGGGGTCTCCAGAGGTATCAATACCTAAAATTCCTTGCACGTGTACTCCCATGTTGTTTAACAAACCAACATTCTTTGACTTAAAGTGCATCTAAACCCAAAACACACTTCCTGTCCTAGGAAGATCACACTCACTTTAATGATTGGAGGAGCAGTGTTGTCACCCTAGGACTGTAAGTGTGTTAGGACTTCAATGCAATGAGCTCGTAACTTTCTGTGTATCCTGCAGTGTTATCAGCCCTACCCAGCCTTCACCGCTGTAAACTACATACACCACCCGTGTTACTGAGAAGAGAAGAGCAGAGCGGGGGTGTAACTAGACCCCCCCGCCCGCCACCTGAGCCAGGGGGTAGTTGTGGTTGGATTGTCGGTGCACAACGAGACGGGAGGTGTGGGGATGCTAGAGGTGCATAACAAGACCTGGGGGTTGTGCTGGTGGTGCACACTGAGACCAGGAGGTTGGGGGGTGCTGGTGGTGCACGCAGGGCCGGATTTCCAACAAGGCCAACCAAGGCCTGGCCTCGGGGGAAGCAGGGAGCAGAGGGGCAGCAGGGAGTAGAGGGGCAGCAGGGGTGTGGAATTCCTATCTCCCGATACCCCGAACATGCAGTTCCAGGTGCCGGGCGGGTAGTTGTTTTCTACATTTAGACCTGCTTTGGGCGAGCAGGGCTAAATGTACAGCGGGGAAGCCACCGCTTGTGTTGTACAAGTGATCTCGGTGATGTCGCCAAGATCACTTGTATGCAGCCTGCAGGTCTGCCATTCTCCATGGGGGAGTTTGACGGGGAGGGGGGCGCATTGAGGAACCAGAGAGAGTAATTCCGACTCTGGGTGCACGGGGGTGGTGTTACCTCTAGCATCCCACCCAGCTCACTGACGTCACTAGTTGCCACAAGTGGGGCAGGAAGCCGGCCAGAACGTTACAGGTTGCTAGGAGCTTTTAGCAACCTGGGACGCTCTGGCAGAGAAGGGGGTGGCCGTCCCACCATGTGATCCAATGAGATGCCGCCTGGGGCAACCACCACAGGCTGTGTCATTATGGGGACAGCTCTGAGGAGAGGGGAGGGTGTTCTGTAGTGTTTAGATTGTAAGCTGTACCTTAAACTCTTTTCAGTCCATAACTCAAACAGAATATGTCATCCACAAGACACGAGTAGTCCACATACTGGTGTCTGGTAAGCTGTGTACATTAAAAACTGTATGCCAGTTATTAAACAATGGCGGGTCCAGTTATTGTCACCAGTGTTAACGGTACATGTCACAGAAGCAACTTCATTTCCATCGATGGTTTAAAGCACAGTTTAATGAGCTCATTAACATCAGCAACAAGTTGTGTATTCCACTGGGCAGACGCTAATATGGTCGATTGCACATGTGTCACCTCTTGTGGGATTCCAGTCATGTTTCTATGCAGGACTAATCCTATAGAGGATTCACCAAACCACCTATAAAGCCGGGTCATCGCACCGGCTGACGTCTCCAGGAAATGAGAAGAAGGAAGAACTCTACTATTCTCAACCTCAAATTGCAAACGTTCCTTGATGGGTAATTTCTTTGTAGATGTTATGCAGGACAGCCAAATTCTCTTTTCTTGTTTGACATTGGCAAGAGTCCTTCTGCAAACTGATACAATGGAGAATATTTCCATGATCGGCACTCAATTTATCCTAGTGGGCCTTGCCGAGTTGGCGGACGTTAAGTACCTTTCATTCCTAGTCCTTGCCATCTACATTGTCGTCATGGCGTTGTGTTCGCTGATTGTGTTCGTCACCTGGACTGAGGAAACCCTCCATGAGCCCATGTACATTTTCATCGCCAACCTCATGCTGGCGGACATGTATGGAAGCACGGCCATAATGCCCAAGCTGATCATTGACTTGATGACGGGGTGTGTCACCATTTCGTTTACAGGATGCTTGGCCCAGGGCTTCTTTCTCCAGACCTTTCCAGGCGCCGAAATTTTTACCTTCACTGCCATGGCGTACGATCGTTACTTGGCCGTCGGCCACCCGTTGAGGTACCCCATGTTGATGAACAACAAGAGGGCTTTCAACATTCTGGTGGGGATATGGATCTATGTGTATGTAGGGATATGTGCGATTGTGGTCATAGCGTCAAGGCAAACTCTGTGTGGTGTGCGCATCAACAGCGTGTTTTGTGAAACCATTTCCCTTACACACTTGTCCTGTGGGAACAACACACTCGGCATAGTCTTTGGCTTTACATGGACCATGCTCATGATAGTTGGTTGTGTGTGTGTTGTAGTTTACTGCTATATAAGGACATTTCTTGTCTGTCTTAAAATATCTCAGGAAGCGTGCGAGAAGGCCATCCACACCTTGGTGACGCACATCATCGCCTTCTTCACGTTTTTGGCTTCGAGTTTATTTACCGTTTTCAGATACAGGATCAAAGGTGAGTCCCTTACTTTCCTCTCCCACCTAATAACGTCCATCGCGGGACTCGCGTCTTTCACCCTGAACCCCGTCATCTACGGCATCAGGACAGAAGCTCTCAGGACTAAAATGAGTCAGAGGTTGAAGAGCATGAAGTCTTTTATCTGGACCTGGACAAGGAAACAGACAGACCAATATCTCCAAAGACATAAGTGCGGGAGGTGATTCCCCCGGGACAGACTGAGATAGAAGCAAGAAAACAGAAGACCTGCTTGTAATATATTATATATTATAACATTCCTCATACTTTATATGTACAGTTCCATGGAAAATACATCAAATAGCCTTCGATGTTGTGGGGGGGAATGTGTGCTGTGT